CAACCTTCCAATCAGTTCTAGAAGTGATCGCTTAATGAACATGGGGGAGGGCTTAAAGCCAAATTAACTTTCTTTCAGTGTAACCGGTTACCTGGGTACTGCATTATAATAACCGGTCTCAACTCCTCCAGTGAAAAACATGCTCAAAAAACACTGACTTTTCATGATTTCCTGGCACTCGCAACTCCCCATTGTTTTACTGGATCGAACTGATCAAACTCTGCCAGCAAATGAGCTGTTACGCGGATACCACGATAATGTCTTAATACTTGTCGTTGTAACTGACTTGATTGCGGCTGGCACTGGAATTCAGGGCAAAACGAGTATCCTGATTTCCACCCCTAGCCGCAACCAAGGGAACTGAAAGTGGATTTTCCCCAAGATAACTACTGAAAAAACTGCCACACGTGTGCCAAACTACTGTGTCGTTCACTTGGAGCCACATAAAATAGGAGACCATTGATTTTTGACCGTCGTTGTTATTATTCAACGAAGGCTGGCAGTGGATAACGTACTGATGCAATGCCCCAGATCGATTTCACCGAAGATGCCTGGCACTGAAGCTACCATTTTCTGAATAGCAAAGACAAAGGCAAAATTTCAGATAGGGGTTCGGAAAAAATATCTACTGGAGCGAGGGAGGTAAACGCTAAAATTTCCCATACCACCCTACCCTAGTTCCTTGTCTGTCGGGATACTGCAGTTTCTCTTCATGGATAATAAGCATTTCTAGTACTTTTCTGCCTATTTGCTAAGTTTCATCCGCATACACCGTGAAACTTCCCTGAACACATTACTGGGAACAGATGGTTATAGAACAAGTTGACGTGTTTATAAAGTTAAACCGCAGGTGGCTTAGGTACTTACTACCCTTGATGTCATGACGGCCAGAAAATATGATTTTGAATGATGACAATAAAACGAACTCATCGGCGTACACAAGTCTAAACATAAATTAAACGTACTTACAGCTATTATTATTTGTATGTGTCTGTGTGGGACTGATAGCGTTATAATGGAATCGATACAAAGTTCTGGCCCTACAACTTTCAGGACAGTTATGTTGGCTAAAAACATCGAATTCAAAACCCCGGTTTTGTTTGTAAACATTATGGTTGTTACCCTGCATAAAGAACACATACGGTAAGATATAAGAAGCAGGCATGTGGAACACTTTGAGCCACAAACTGAAATAGACATTGAAATGGATCCGATGAAACAGCTGGAGAAGTATAAAATTAGCACTTGCTAATGCACACCATATTTGTGCAGCAACTGTAAGTTTTGCATATGTTCGATAAACGCCCTTACACGCATTTGGGCCTCGAATTCTGCCTCACATTTCATGGGTGGACAGTAAACAAAGGAGCTGGAAACTGAGGGAAAGTAGGTGGTTAATGTTAGGCTAGGTAACGTTGACCTTCAGCCATTGCAGTCTTCATATGTTCCCGATAAACAGAGTGGTAGTGCTTAATTTGGGTAAAGCGGTGCGTTTTGGCTTCAGGTGAACAATGTTGATCCAGAGAAGTCGTTGAATGAGCGTAGCTACCATGCAGACTGAATTCCAGAAGCACTGGTTTTGTTGCTCCCTCTTCTTCACCTATCTAATAGGGTAATAAGATTGAAAAATGAGCACTACATGGGAAGGCTTAGAAGTCAACTGCTTTCGATGTACTTATCATAAATACTTGAGTTGTTTAGTGAGAGAAGTTGGCGTTCTTGTCAGCATTTGTAAATGGTGCTGCGTTCGCTTTATTTCGTACTCACGGAGTTCACCGTGGTCGGGAATGGACAACAGCCATGAGGCCATGAAGGATAATCAATCACTATCCTCCTGCGCTGATTAACCTGCAAGCGGATGCAATAGCCTGACACTGTACCACATCGTAAATTGTGAAGTAGCAGTATTAAGTGCATAGGATAAAAGCCACGATCAAATACTGGCCACATGGTGCGTAAGCGTTAATTTATCATTTTATTATCAGCCTCGTTGCACGTGAATCTGCGCTGCCAAATGCGCCATAGTCCACAGTTACTGCATTTTGGTTCACCTTGCAACCGACTACGTATCCTTGTAAGGGTGCATTTTTATATATAGCTGTGATTCACTAAACACTGCTTTTTCAGACAGAAAACATCTTTACTCTGAGATGTGCTAATCTGACCACACCAAACAAGTAATGGTGCTGGAAATGATTCTCAGCATACCGAAATGTTTTGAGTGACGTCAATTCGTTATTCCTTAAATGAAGATAGTTCAGTGCACATCAGTGGCTTTGTCTTCCTTCTTAGCCTCTAATTACTGTACAGGATCTCAACCTACATAACAAGTAAATTTTGATGTTTTACATGGATATCACTCCCCTCTAAGTGTCATAGCCTCAATTTGTATTTTGTGTGCAGTGGTCATCCTCGCTCATTTAATTTAAACTGAACTGAGTACACTGATGTGAAAATACTAACTGATACAAGTGCACCAAAATAAACTGAACAGTAATGAACATAAGTCGTCCAACGGACTGAGATGTTTGCCGAGCTCTACCAAAAAACCACGAGCTTCTTAATGGACATCGGCGATGAAATACCGCAAAAACAAGGATTATCCGGTTAAAATGTGATCCACTGGGTTACAGAAAGCTTACGTATGCTGCAGTTTACGTGTTATGCGTTAGAGAAGAAACCCAGTCTCACCAGCTGCAGCCTAAAGGATGAGGTGGTCCTAAGGAACAAAATGCCTTCAGCGAGTAACTAGAGTACGTATTCCTTAGTATACAATATACACACAATTTTTGTAAGCACAAATAAATTCATATGAAAATTGCACGTTGCCTTAGTGAAAGTAATTTTGACGGCTGGAATGTTTGCGTTCCATGTAAATAAAATGTAGGATAACAACAGAATACGTATGCACGACTGACGCTACAGGCAACTGACCAGGGTTTGCATTTACGTATAACAAGGGTTACTCGGAAGAGAAAATATGGCTTGACGCTACTATTTCCAGTGTCATGTTTGTCATATTTTGCTTACTAATAGTGATGAAAAGCTCATGCATGAACAGATGCCGTTGAAGGCCGAATATCTGCTTTTCTCAACTACAGAATACAGATGCGGTAGGTTTGTTCGAGTGCATGGAGTGGGCGTCCAGAAACTTTCGTCTGCCATTGTCCCTGTCCATAATGATCTTCTGGTTAGTAGGTATGACACGTTCCTGCTTACCTTTGTGATGAATCCTGGGTCTTGACAATCACCAAGTTGTAGTTCGAAGGATATTACTGGTTTATCTACATTGTACTTTGACTTTGTGAGCGGAGCGCCAATACTGGACCCAAAATGGGTGGTCTCAGCTCAAGTTTGTCCCTCTAACAATTGCATTTCAGTTAAAACCGAGGCCACATTCAAAGTTCAGGGGTCTTCCCACAACCAGAATGAAGGAACTACACGCAGCAGGCAGAGAAAAGAGAACAGAAGTTCGATGAGGCATTTGTTTTTTATATGCCTGTTTCTCAGCACCTTGACCTTCCTTACTATGCCATCAGTTGTGTAGGCCCCGCCTACTAAACATTCACAGATTCATTTCCCATGCTTTTTGCCAATCTGGGACCTGGTCCCATGTTTGCTGTTGTTTGCAGATGTGGCTATCCGTCGTTAAGTATGGAGTGCTTAATTATGAGAGAGTTTCTTCGGCGTTACGTATGAAATTTCAAAGACGTGGAAGAGGTCTCATTTAGACCCCAAGTGGGCCTGATATATACGGTGTCATAGAGGATGGTTATGGCCCACTCAGCAAGCCTGAAAAGTTTTCTGGTATTAAGAACCTAATTAATAACCCACCAAAGTCGGAGGTTGATTGAGAGGTCAGGAAGCCTGTTCCAAACCCGGAAGAATTTCACGGTGAAGACACTTACACGCAAACAGGATTTAAACGAGTTCGCCGTGACTCAGTAGGCATGATTGCGCAGATCGTAACGACTATTTTGTTTGAAATGAAACTCATCAATAGCTGCAAGAGTGAATTTGTGTAGTACATCGAAGAAGTGTCAGGCTAATTTTGAGCTGTCTCATCCAAAGCGGTTCTAGATTTGGGGTCCTGCATCTGGAACTGCAATCCTGTCCGTAACTGTATCCTAGTAACCCAGATACAAAATGTCTTTGAACACCCTTTACTTTTAGTTTTTTTAGTGTTGATACCACCATTACGAATAGACAGTGTTCTAGTGGCCTCTGTAGTGGGAGTCACGGATTACGCAGCCCCATAAGGTCCTGGATTTGCAAACATGTGGTGTAACCTGTCCAGAAAATGTGAGGCCACCTACGCATCTTGGCCTGAAGTTATTGACACTTTTGAGAACGGATAGTTTCATAGACTGAAGGCGTGGTTGTATTTCTATCGAGGGAACACCAAAGCGTATTCACCCACATCTACTTGTATTGAAATGAAGTTTCCAAACAAGGGACCGCATGCATATTAAATCGGGCTCCCTTTGTACTAATATTTGGAGGTTGGATAGATCAACATAAAGGAACAATCATGCAACTTTTGATCATCATCAAATGAGAATGCTTTGCCGTGTGTTAAGCAGCTGCAGACGTCGCTGAAGTACACAGTAAGGAGAAGGGGACCTAGTACACTGCATTGAACTACACTAGAGGTAATTGGTGCAGGTTTTGGGGTGTGTCAGTCCACTTTCCCCGCTTGAGTGCGAGTACTGAGGAAAGATATAACCCATCCTGATAACGGACGGCCAAATCCTGGAGACCCTGACTTATTAACAGTAAGTGAGCAACTATATCCAGCGCCTTTGGGATGTCTAGATAACGTACAGGGGCTAATTGGTGTCGGTCACACATAGTAGTTATGACAGTGAAGAAGTCAAGATGGCAAGTTATACTGCACAAAACAATTAGCGCTTGCCACAACTTCTTAACTCCACTGATAGTAGACCCATTTTTTCGCAATTTAGACGGTGCCGTTTATTTTTACCTTCTATGCACTTTAAATGTCATTCAACAGTTTTAAGAAACAAAAAGTGAAGTTAAGTGAGCTGCATAATACTTGCGGCATCTGTAAACCAAATTTATCCGCAGAAAGCTGTAACCTCACAGATTTGCTTCGAACAATTGTGTGCATTAAGTTCGATCAATTTCTGGCATTAGAGTTACCTCATTGTAAGTCTTCCATGACCTGTGAATTGCCTCTGAGCAGCCTAAAGCTAAAAATAATGATACATTTATCGCTTGACAGAAGCTGTATAAAGGTATGTCAGTTTTACCCGCACGGACGGCTTGTTAACATATCTTCGAGAATATGAGGATTAGCACGTAAAACATACTTCATGTGTTTCAGTTGTATTCCCTTAAAGTATTCAAAACGTAGTTAATTGATTTTGTTTGACCTCATTGGACTTGGTTGTGCAACTATGCAGAAGTTGTTGTTTCGAAACTCAGAACCATAGCATTTTGCCTCGGTAGCACACTATGGCAACCGTAAGACTGAAGGTTTGTAGTCAGATCCTTCGCATAGTTTTTGCTGCGAAAAACAATTTTCGACCGAGTCTCTTGCAGTCTGAACAAACGTTCCTTGCCTGACAGTTTAGTGTCTTGAACTCAGTTGGCTTCGATTAGGATTTTGGAACTCCTGAGATTCGCGTCTTCACTACGGGTTATAAGGCGATTTCGGCCATGACATGAAACGTTGGTACACACTCACTTTTAAAAGGCCGAACACGTCAAGACTACTATGGGCCAGTAACAATGCTTTAGTTATTTATGACAGGAGCAAAATCCCGGTTACAGCCTCTGCAGTCTTCTGCCAATGTTTTGGTAGGCCGGTTGGGTTAAAAGTTGGAAGGAGTGGGGTAGATGTAATTGTTGGTGATGTGACAAATAGCAAACGAGATTTGAGATCGCGTATAAAGAAAAGGGTCATTCTTTAGACCTGAAAAATGGACAAAAGAGGTTTTGGCAGATTTGGGTTGAGCAAACGATGCAGCAGCGGAATTTTATATCACACGATATTCAGACACTGATACGGAGTTCATAAAAGGGAAACCGGTGCTGGAATTAATGCGACGGAGTGGATGGAATGGCCAGCACGTTTTCTTGAATACTAATAGCGTTGGGGAGCAAAAGATTTAGGTATTAATAGGCAGAATAAAAATGCCACATGACCGTCAAACTTTTCGCCAGAAGCAGTTTTCCCGTTTTATATAAGCATATGGAAGCAGCTGGCTGCGCTGTTCCCCGATTAGCTTTATAAATTCAGGGGTTCAGACATGCAGTATCTTGATGTTAAGCGGGCTGAGATGATAGGTAGACACTCACAAGGTTCTCATCGGCACTGCGTTTTCATTTATCCCTCTTTCGTTGTTACTTGATTTGCATCCCAAGGAGAGGCATAAATGACAGTCACAAATTACCTAGACGCACTGTTCTTCAGATAACTTTATTTGAACTTGTTTCTCCACTGTCACACTGCTCGTCAGTTATCTACTCAAGCGCGATTCCGTGTGAAAAAAATACCACAGATGTCCTTGTGTCCTTGATGGACTACTAGGAAGCACCCGGCTAGACAAAACTCAAGACTAATATCATTGCCGGTCTCAGGCCAAGCTGGTGACCATGATCCATGCACTTAATACTGGCGATAAATCAAAGGCAGGCAGATAACGCCTCTATGGGTATGCCTCAGTGAAGCGCTCATAAACGGATAAATAAGTATTTTATTCTCATATTAGTAATTTAACATGGCAAAAGCCAGTTTACGGGCATCACCACATTGATATATGTTGGAAAATCTACAATATGCTACCGAACCTGTATGGTACAGAAGGGAGGTCATTGAATTCGATTAAAAACATCAGATTCCACAAGTTGTGAAATGAACAGGAAAGTACCACTTTTCAGCACATACAGTGTTAACGTTTAGATCGTTTTCAGTCATACTTTCTTTTTTCACTATTGGTGACACCAAGGTTGCGCAAAATTTCGAATTTCCGTTACAAGTAGTCGACATGTTTGATTCGTCGTCCTAATGCCCCGTTACTGCAGACCGCTTGCAGTGCGTTGTCAATACTGTTCAAGTTGAGGTATGCAGCATTATCAAGGAGATATATTCACTGTTTGATGAAGTACTAGAAAAGTCTGTTGCATAGCATCGTTGTGGACATGTTAACTTTAAAGTTAGTAGATGAGTGGATCTCCTGGATTTTACTGTCTGTCCAGATTTTCGTTGCCACTGTGACCGTCCAGAAATTCTAGTAGTTTGAGGATTGAAAAATGTTCATACGGTGGGCGAGTCAAATGAGTGAATGGAATTGGTAGTTCTTATTTGTTGAACAGTTATTTCCGTGGGGGCACAGTTGCATTGCTTTGCAAAATAATGGAAAGTCGAGAATAATTAAGGTATATCCCTCATTTATGTCCTGTTGTCATCATCAAAGGTAATCTTGATGATGTGGGTTTCGATTTTTCGAGTTAAATCCTTTGTTCGTTTAGCGTTTAGATTTCCAGATAATCGGTAAGTTCTCATCACAGTCCACTTTCTTCATTGCCTAGTGATATCCTCTTGTTGCAACTATCTGAAGTTTTGGTAGAAGAAACGACAGAAGCGGGTGTAGCCTCTACACCTTTGACGTTGGAAATTGTTTATGTATTGAGATGGCAGATCTGATGGTGGGAGTTATGGAGACCATCTTTATCTGAGGTCATTAGACCCAATATATGCCCTTGCCCTCACTTCCCCCAGGATTACAGTGACTATCTTCCCCTAACCCCATAAGTGTATATCAAAGTTTTCGCCAGCACACAAATACCGAACAGCCACCATCTTAAAGGATATGTAGTACAGATTAAACTAGGATACGAGAAATGCACTACATAGAACTTCAAAGGTATTCCACAGGTGCAGTATAGAACTATGTAGTCCCTTGCTCCCCATGTCCCCTTTAGATACTCTAGTTGACAGTATTGATTCCCCAAATTCTAAGACAACCAACTTCAGTTGTCATACCACCATGTCCCTCTTTCTCGCCCGATATGCAGATTATGATGGCGGATCAAGACAACGCACTGAGCACCGAGATACACTACGAACTTCTATTCAACACATGAGAACTATCCCCTTTAACCACCTGGAGATGCAGAATCACCAAGAGCTAGACAATTCATCCCAGACTACAACCTCTCCTAAATGCATAGCCCCGATTGGGAGAGCAACCAGAAATGTTATAAAATCTCATTTGCATCCAAACATGTGAGTTCTTTCAGTCCTGACGGCCACTCACCTGAAAATGAAGCTAACCGAGAGCGACTTCATATGACGCCCCGAACTTGAGGTTTTATTGGATGGTTTGATGGTGAAACCTCTTATATTCTCCATCATAATATGACAACAGCAGATGAATAGAATTGCATCCCTGGCTTTACTTATTTGAATGACTCCGTTTAGAACATTACAAACCTAAACAGTTGCTACACTGTGCATAACACTGTAAAATACCAGACCCAAGTCTGTATCCGCCACCCATCTCATTTTCGCTTGCCATCTGTAGACAGTACAAATTTACTGAAAACAAATGTGTCTCCGGATTCATTCGTTCTCAACACTCCATATGCAATGTACTCTTATAGATTTAATGACTCACTACTGCCTCTCGTACTGAGCGATTATACCGTCATTAATTTTCAGCACTGCTGTTTAACGAAATCGCTCCCATCCGATATTTGTGACAAGCCGGAAGTTCCGTAATGCGAAACCCACCAGTTTCCGTGATTTCGATGCCTATGTGATACTTGCTCAGAGAAGGTTGGGTCGTGAGAATATTGCAGCCCTAAGTCTTGTATGAACTTTAGTTCCGGGAGGCGATGCTCGGTTACCATTGAGTTTAGTTCAAATGCATATTCACCTATGGGTACCCAGCCGCATTTTTCTGTGTTAACTTCAAGTCACCAGGTGTTGCACCACTTGCTAACATTTATTAATTCCTCCTACACAGAGCTTATAGTTTAGGCTAAGTCACTGCTAAGACATATGTATACCACTTTTAGGTCATCCGCACATAAGAATGGCTTACCTACCTTGAAAAACTCACATATGCTATTGAGGTATGCTATGAAGAGGGGTGGACCTGAGACGCTGCCCTGGACAACTCCACTGGTTATTGGTTTAGGCTTAGAGATAGTTAAACCAACTTTTGTTGTTCAGTGACGGTTGGGTAGAAAGTATTTTGACCAGCCTAAGAGTGGATTAAAGATCCCAAGGGATCTTGGCCTACTGATAAGCGAGTTGTGAGGGGCTGTATCGAAGACTTCAGTGATGTCAAAGTAAAGTATTATCACCAACTTTTCTGATTCCACTTGCCGGCGGTCTCGTTAGACAAGTGAAACAGGCCTGTAGTGCAAGATCTTCTTTTCAAAAAGCCATATTGTGATGAGTTGATATGGTTAGATCCCAGCAAGCAATCAGAAACTTGATTTTTAATCACCTTTTCCGCAATCTTTGAGATGACCGCAGTTACGTTAACTGGGCTGTGTTTGTTGATGCTGGTTATGAGACAAAGAAGAAAATATTACTATACAGCAGATGCAGAGCGTCTGAGCGAAGATAATAAAAATTCGAATCCTCATATAATGGATTTAACATGGGCGGTACCAGTCTACAAGTATAGCAAAACCGATAATTCTTGGAAGTTCACATAACAGTATTCAGTATTATATGATCGACATATCAAGCTATTGATGTGCTTAACCTCATTAAAACTTGCTTCAAATCATGAGATGGGCATGAGCTTCCGTCTACCATTACACAGATAGGTTCTGCTGTCAATAACAGAGGCGCGCAATGTCAGAAGTTTGCGTCATAACCAGCCGACGTTGTTAGTCCATCTGCATAGTTTGTTATTTGGTAATACTACCGTCCATTCACTAGAAAGTTCTTCAGTTTCTAGCTTTGCTAACCACAAAAGACCAACTTAAATTATTGGAAGTATCAGTAAGTATCCACAGTCATATAACCAAGGTGAGTGTCTACATCAACGCATTTCCAGTTCACCACGTTATGTTTAAAGGTAATATATATTGATTTCACCGGGATTACTCGTAATAGTAGGTAGGAGTATGCGTTGAAACGACTAATATTTCAAATGGCAGCGGTTATACGTAGGCTTCAA